TCACTTTTTAAGGCATAAAATCATTTTCACATCTGCAAATACTACTACCATTTGGCTCTCCCCCTGTCCAGTGTCTTGGTAGGTGGTCCTCTTACCCATCAACCTCTTGCCCTGGCTCTGTTGTAAGGCCTGGCAAAGACAACCCTCCCACCCCCCAATGCATGTTGAGCCCCATCTTGTCTGTCCCCTGACTATATCAGTCACACAGGGCCCCTCTGTTAATCTACTGTGAGTGTTGTGAGCCACCATATCCCTCAATGTGCACACTTCTTTTGTGGGGTAGAGGATAGGATGCAGTGGAGGGGGTGATGGAGCAAATATTCCACTACAGGGGAATAGCAGTGAAGTTCAGGACTGGTGCTATCCAGTAGTTCCAGTCTGATTCATTCTTATGGTACATAGAGATGATGACAGAGAGGGTCAAGTATCCTTGTATGACTCCAGAAGGGGTTTGAAGCCTCACTGCAGCCTGGCCAGGCTGAAGAGTCTCCAGGCTTGGAGAGTCCAAGGTGGCAGGATGGGGTAGTTGCTTTACTCCCTTACATACCACCTGCCATGAGCTGTGGGAAATGATGTGCCTTAATCACATGAGCCTGGTGGGCTATTCAACTTGGGTAAACTTTTCTGTGTTTTTTCTTCTTACTTCTTATGGCTGTAAACCCACCCTTTACCTTGCCATCATCCCTATGGACTCTGTTCTGTTATGTGGCATTCTGTTCTAGCTTCTATTCCATGCTCATCCCCATAGTACCTAAGCTATGGAAAGTATCTGGTTTTCCAAAGCATCTCAGGAAAGAGTCTGGTTCTGGTGTTATACAGTCTTTTAAAACTAGGCAGCGCTGGGGAGTCCAGTACCCTTGGCAGAGTGTGGTCTATCAAATTCTGTAGCACCCAGTCTGGAGTAGCGTCTCCACTATCCAAATCTTTCCGTCTCCTTAGCTTCCCTAAGTTATTTAGCCTACTTTTGTATTTAGTGTTTTCTTACCAATCAGGTGGAGTCTGATCCCAGTTCTGCCTTCATACTTGTCATGAAGATCTCCGGAAAACTCTACCCGGCAGAAATATCTGTTGCTGTCGCTCCACGTCAGATTGTCAATCTTGATGGAAAGGTTGTTGTGCCTTGGGTTCCCAAGCAGTTTGTACTTGTTCTTGTAGTTGGTTGCAGTTTTACAGAGTTCGCTTGAACTGTGAGCCACGCACTTGAAAACCACTGTCCCATTGTAAGGCTCCCTGATCCTCCAAATGGCTGTGAGAGTCCGGTCAAAGGTTTTATGGGGGTGTGTGAAGGTACAGGGCAGAACAACGCTCTTTCCAACTTCACCGGTAGCATCTGATGGAACCTTAATGGACCAGCCATTGAACTGCAAACCTAGAAATAAAGAAATTGAATTCAGAGGCTTGACAGACCATGAAGGCTAGTATACCAAACCTGAAGAACCGAACCATTGAGAAAGATCAGGAGTCATTGTCTTACCTTGTCCATTCTTGCTCATCAAGTGGATACTCCATCCTTTGAGTAGGATCCATGCCTACTTCTTTTCTCAGTCTTTTTTTTGTTCTTCAAGCTATCTTGCAAATGTATAAAACTTGAAATATTACTTTTTTTTTAAGAAGAGTATTTTGATCATGATCAAGTGCTTAACCCCAGGGGGGTCAGTATGACTGCAGGCATTGGCATGTCATCCTATTTGTTACCCAATTCCTTTAAATCCTGTTCCTGGAAGGGTTTTATGGCTTTTGATGTTATCTCAACACAGGGAGACCTGTAGCTTTGTTAAGTAACATATGTCCAGTGGGATGTAAAAGCAGATTAAAGCCTTGTGCACATTTTGAGCTGCGCTTTCTATACCTCTGTTGACATGGTAGGAACTCTGGAGATGTGGTTTATGTTGGCACGAGAGGCGATTCTTGTATTATAATTACCCCACTTCCCTGAACAACACTAAGCTGGCAGAAGTCATCTCCTAGTGGCAGGGCTGCATCCATGCTGGGTTCTGCCAGCATAGGGAGTACGAGATTTTCACACCTGTCCCTGACATAGCTAGGTCAGCAAAGCTTCGTGGTGTAAACTAGACCTGACATGTTGGTTGTGCTGATTCAGTGAATCCTGCAGGTTGGAGTGGACATGTGTCTTGAAGGAGCGGTGGGGCTTCTGACACTGAGACTGGCACGATTAGAAACAGACCTCCGTCACCACAGCATGGGATATTGTCTCGCCCCACAGCAACCACCGATTTCCATAAACAGGTCCTTTCCCACGAGCTGGGCTCTGAGTTCCCCAGTGCAGAAGTTGCCAGCGGGTCTTACGGTTATTCAATGACTTTGGTGTTAAATGTTCTCTTACTGATACACATGCCAGATCCCACCCTGGGAAACTAGTGCAGTCAGTACACTGCCTTTATCTCAGGGCTAAATCTGATCTTTCTGTCTCATCAGCATTCAGACTTGACTTGAGTAAAAAGGTCCAGCTTGTGGAATATGTGAAAGAACCAAAATCTCCCACAGCTGTCCTCACCAGACCTGCTAGCTTCTGCGAGGTGAGCTTCTGAGAAGTGCTGTGCCTTGGTGGCAACTGCAACAGCTGTGGCACCAGGTAATACTTTCAGGACAGAGAATCCTGTCCTGACAACTTCATTACAGCAGTAGCCTTTCCTTGACTATTAGGCGCCAGAACAAGTGGAAAAAGCTAGTGGCCTGGTTTTCTAAAAGGCTGAGCTCCTGCAATTCTGCTTGACTTCTTTGGGGTGCTCAGAAGCCACAATGATGACTGTGGGATAAAAGGCTGGACAGAGATAATCAGTGGTTTATCTAAGTTTTGGTACACATGGTGTCCTTTCATGACACTTGGCAGACGTCCCTGGGACTGTGCAGATGACATGGGTCTATTGCAGGGGTGGGCAATTATTTCGGGTGGAGGGCCGGTTACTGAGTTTTGGCAAGCCGTCGAGGGCTGCATGACAGGCGGCCAGGAGCAGGTAAATATTTATCTTCTACATTTTTTAGGGTCCCCGCAGGCCAGGTAGAATGGCCTGGTGGGCCACATCCTGCCCAGCCCTGGTCTACTGCATGCTTTCTGATGGGCAAAGGCCAATACAGGACTCAGTTCTCCTAGGCGAAGCTCTTTACCTATAGTTGGCCACATGCCAGCACATTAAAACCTCCAGCACAATTGCAAAAGCGTTCTGTATAATAACATGGTGCAATATTTGCATTGATGCAATAAGCCAGGTTACGTGACCAAAGAGGGAAGCTGAGAATCCATAAAGTTTACAGGCTCTGAGCAGAGAGGGCCTATAATATCCATGATAATGAACTTGCCTCTCTGCCTTGTGGTAGTGAGTTTGATACTACATAATCATCTCTTTCCTCTGTGGTTAAATGAGGGTTTGTGGGACCTTGAGAAGCCTCACTTGTGTACTGACAGCCTTGCTGATTGTGCGCCTCTTTAGGTATCTGGTGTCAGATATCTGTAGTGTGTGGGATTGACATAACTGGTCACACCGTATGTGTGTAGCTCATGCTATGGAGCATTAATCATTAGTGGCAGATGCAGACTAATTTGAATGGAGGAACTGATCTGGCTGTATGTGATTCGCCACCTATACTACCACTTTTTGTTTAGCACAGGCCAGTTTTAGACTTAGGGTAAGGGATGACCGTGTTTCTAGCAAGTACACCTTTTTTTTTTTCCCTATAAGGTGAGAACTAGTGATCAAAAGCACTTATCTCTTTTGTTTGAAGCTCCCTCCCTGTCTGTGGAAACTCCTGCAGACCCTAGGTGCTGATAGTAGATAACAGTCAGCGTCTTGTGTATGACTAATTGTCCCCTGTGTAGTCACACACACCCTCACAATTAAATCTTGCCAGGACAGCCTGTCATGTCAATCTTGCCTCAGCTCCTGTTTTTTACCTAGCTGTGCTGTGCCCCTGGACTACACATTTTCATAGGGAAGATGGAATGTCATTTGTAACTAGCAGCTAAAGGACTATTTCGTAGTACAAGTCACACGGTGCATCAGTTTCCAAAGGCATGTCTGGGATTTTTAAATGAGCTGTCTTTATAGGGCATTATGAGATCATCTGATGCTGTGAGTATTTCTATAAAACTGTACTCCACAACCCACCCCCATGCTTTATACTTCAGTGTCTGCTGTGTTGTCAGTGGAAAACATCATTCCCTTGGTATCAAAAACCAAATCTGGGATAAAGGACTTTATGTACATTCATTTTGTGTCCTGAGAAGGAGATCTTCATACACACTGATAATGATGGTATTGGTCCTGACCCAGTAAAAAAACCTGACTTCAAAAATACATGTGTACATGCAAAATACCATTGATTTTTCATGAGATTTAAAGGCATATTTAAAATGAAGCCTGCATTTGGATGCGGTGCTATGATCCCAGCTCTGGAGCAAACTATCTCTGCTGTGTAATTGTCCCTGAGAACACTATACAGCACTTCAGGACAAGCAGTGAAAAATGTTATAGCCAATTGAAAATGCAGGAGAAACTTAAATCATTATAAATGGCTGAGTTTGCAGCTGGCTGTGACAGCGTGCACAGGGAGAGTCGTGCAACTGTCTCGAGCCTCCACAGAGGCAGGACTCTCATCCTGCTGTTTCCACAGGTCATGAGCCATGTTTAGCAAGGAGTACGGAAGCCACTTGGGATTGAGGGATGCAGCAGAGCAACACGATGGACTCACAAGTCCTAGGGAATTAGCTGCCTTGAGCAGTCCCATGGGCACCAGGCCAGAGCAGGGAGAGGAACAGCAATGAAAGCAGAGGAATTGGTAGCCATTCAGCACTCACCCTTTGTGAAGATGCAAAGCAGGCAAGCGAGTAGCAACCCCAAGCCTTTCATGTTTGCCAGCGCTCCACAGGAAGAACCGTTTTTCGGTCAGCAAACAGGCATGGTCCACGCCAAAGCCGAGCTGCTGGCCATCCAGTCGCACATTGCTTCCCTGTGGAAAGGAAGGCAGCAGTGGTTTCCTGCTCCCCGGAGGGAATGAGTGTGTCCAGCTGAGCCGGCAAAGGGCGCTGTTATTAATAGTTGTGTGGTCAGTCATGTGGGAAACGCATGGGGGGGGAATCAACATTTTCTTATTTTCCAGCTGTGGGAGGGGCCAGAGGATCTGGACTGAAAATACCCTTTTGGGACGCTTCAAGTACATGGTAGAGCCAAGGTGGCCAGTTCTGGAGTGCTCCAAACCCACTGACCCATGGGGAGGTTACGGGAGTCGGACAAACAGTCAGCGAGTGACAGCTTGTCCCTCCTGCTTGACAGAAGGAAGTCATCTCGCCTCACCCGGCCTATGGCTGCAAACTTGCAATCTGCTCTGCCTTCAGAAAGAGCCAAGTGGATCCCCTGATCAGTCTTTGACCTAAGTGCCCATCTCCTCAGCACTTCCTCAATAACAGGGAACAGGCAGGATGGCTGAAGGTTTACTGTGAGAATGAGAGTAAGGCATGACTGGGTTTATTGAGGAAACTGGGCTGATTTAGTCTGCAGAAATGAAGACTGAGGGGGAATTTAATAGCAGCTTTCAACTACCTGCAGGGGCGTTCGAAAGAGGATGGAACTGGACTGTTCTCGGTGGGGGCAGATGACAGAAAAATGAGCAATGGGCTCAAGTTGCAGCAAAGGAAGTTGAGGTTGGATATTAGGAAAAATTCTCACTCGGAGGGTGGTAAAGCACTGCAACAGGTTACCTAGAGAGGTGGGGGAAGCTCCATCCTTGGAGGTGTTTAAGGCCTGGCTTGACAGCCCTGGCTAGAACGATGTAGTTGGGGCTGGTCCTGCTTTAAGCAGGGGTTGGACTAGATGTGACCTTCTGAGGTCCCTTCCAGCCTTCATTGTTTATGATCCTATGACTGATGAGCCTGTGATGGAGAAGAGAAGGAAAGCTGGGCAATGGGAAGAAAAGAAAGGTGAAAGCGTGCCAGACAAGTTGGTTTCAAAAGTAGCTAGAAAGGTTTACAGGAAATATTTGGAAGGACAGGTCAAGAGAGGACCAGAGAAAACTGCTGGTGCAGAAGAATCGAGAGGGTGTGATTTATGCACGATGGAGGTGAGAGATATGGAGCACCTGGTATTTACAGGGAAAGGAAATTAGAAGATCCAGAAGAAAATGGATACTCACACTCACACTCCCTCCTTCCCTTGCTGCAACTTGGCATTAGGAGTCGTGGTAATTCAGCACTAAAACAAACTGGTAGTTGTTACATGTAGTTTTTATTACTACAGACATTCAGAAATAGGTTAGATTGTAAAATAGGTTAGATTCAGAAATGGGTCAGAAAGTGAGCTTATTTCCAATATATGGCACTGTGTATAATGAAGCCCCAATCCTCACTAAGGTCCCTAGACACCCCTGTAATCATAGCCAGTAATAATAGAGACTCTGACCTAGTAATCCTGGAGACTCTTCTCTGAACTGTCTGGTTGCATCCATCAGTCAGATTTTTGATCTCAGGCCTGTCGAGGTGAAGGCTGAGGCCACACCTGAAGGACTGTCTGTGTGCAACTCGCTTCTCCCAAAGGATAAATTAAGACAGTAGTGAAAACCAAACTGGTGAGGCCAACAGAGGACTACGATGGTGCCGGCAGTTGGTGAAGGAGTGTATTGGCAACAATTAATCCTTATTTCCCCTTGGAGCCTGCAATGCCCAAGGCCATTGCCATTCTGAATAGACCCTAAAAGAGCTGCTTTTCATCATCTGTATCATTCCCCTTTTCAGGTGGCTCCACCAAAATCAATAATTGATCTACTACAGACCTCCCAACCAGGGAGAAGAGCTTGACCAGGAATTCTTAGGTCAGCTCACAGAGGTAGTGAAGGCTAAGGATGTGGTAGTCATGGGGGACCTGAACTTCCCGGACATCTGCTGGGAGGAGCAGTCAGCCAGGTCTGACCGCTCACGTAGGTTCTTAGACAGAGTGCAGAACCTCCATCTAACCCAGGACGTGCACAGCCCCACCGGGGGGACTCCTTGTTGGACCTAGTGCTGGCCACGGGCGATGACCTGGTGAGGGGGCTGCGGGTGCTCGACCACCTGGGCGACAGCGATCATCGCCTGCTGGAATTTACCATCGAGCGCAAGGTGGCAAAGGCATGCAGTAAGGCAGCAGCCCTAGATTTCAGGAGGGCAAACTTCAATGAGCTAAGGAGGATAGTTGG